TATATACACACACACACACACACATACAGTACATACATACACACACACACACACACACACACACACAAACACACACAAAGAAACCTTTGAATGACAGAAAGGGAAGAGCGGAAGTTGCCAGCTGGGGCATTAGCAAGAATCCAGAGCCAGAAGATGGGGGGGAGGGTAGGGGTTGAGATAAGGCCGTGGGAAGATGATGGTCCACCTCATCCCCCTTCCAATCTGGGGAGCTCAACCCCCTTCCAACTTTTCCCAAAATCTGCCCCGAGTACCTGAGTGAGCTTCTCGTGTTCTCCGGAAGAGGCGCAGAGGTGCAGGATGTGGTGGAACCTCTGGGCAGCTGCGTTGCCGGCCGCTCTCCCTGCGGCCCCCCCGAACGGGTTGCCACCCTCCCCCGAAAGGAGGTGGGTCATAATCGCAGGATCCATCCCAATTCTCTGCCTTGAGAAAGGGAAAGAAAGCGAGACGGTTTGAGGGGGCAGAAAGAGTCCAAGAGATGAAAAGGAGGGAGTCTGTACACACCACAGGGGCCGCACGTTCTGTTCTCCCACTGCTGTGGCCAACAACCCACTTGGCAGTTGGTGTGCGTGCCTCTCCTCCTCCTCTTCAGCTGTTTGGGCAGACCTCGGCAGAAACATGGGTTTGCTGGTCCTGCCTCCTGATCGGAGTGAGCGACCCGCCAAGGAGGTGAGCCAGGGGGGCTCCGGACGGAGACTGGCCAAACAGCCAAAGAGGAACGTGCGCCGTCTGACGAGTTCAGGGGGGGATCCATCTGGGGAGTCAGGGGACGGGAACACCCAACACCTGTGGCGCCACACACGGACAAACCAGCACGAACCTCCGAACCGAGGTTCGTGCTCATCACTAGTCAAGACCTCTGGGACCCTTGTCATGGAAAGTCGCTCGGCAGCCCCTTTTGGATTCTTCAGCTCTTCCGGGGACACAGAAAGCTCCCCGTTCTTACCTGTGTGTTTTGGGGAGCTGGAAGATCTCCTGCCAAACGGAGAACAGCCATTTGTTCTGATCCTTCAGGCCCACCTGCGCCGCCTGCACGGTCCTCACCGTGACGTCTTTCTTGCCACGGCTGTACAGGAACTAGAACGACAGCAAAAGGAGTGCTGGAGCCACGTGGCGTCTCGGAGGCGATAAAAAGACAGAAGGCAACGGGACCCCACCTAGTCACTCGAATTCCTTATCCAGGGTTCCGTGTGTGTGCGTGCCACACACGGACGAACCGACACGAACCTCCGGACCGAGGTTTGTGCTCATCACTAGTCAAGACCTTTGGGACCCTGTCATGGAAAGTCGCTCGGCAGCCCCTTTTGGATTCTTCAGCTCTTCCGGGGACACAGAAAGCTCCCCGTTCTTACCTGTGTGTTTTGGGGAGCTGGAAGATCTCCTGCCAAACGGAGAACAGCCCTTTGTTCTGATCCTTCAGGCCCACCTGCGCCGCCTGCACGGTCCTCACCGTGACGTCTTTCTTGCCACGGCTGTACAGGAACTAGAACGACAGCAAAAGTAGCGCTGGAGCCACGTGGCGTCTCGGAGGCGATAAAAAGACAGAAGGCAACGGGACCCCACCTAGTCACTCGGATTCCTTATCCAGGGTTCCATGTACGTGCGTGCGTGAGTACCCCAAAGCCAGAATCCTGTTGCGGGGGGGGGGGAAATGGTGCCTCCCATAATAATTGCAATGGCCAACATCATTTTAAATGGTTTATTTAAAGATAGGTTAGCTAGTTAGTGGTTTTATGGACTGATGGACAGTTGATGAGTATGTTGTTTTGCATTATTGCTGCACACCTGTCCAGCCATAGGTGTTGTGTGTCAGAAGCATTGAACTTTGTACAAGCCAACTGAAAAAAACAGAGGTGCCTCAAACTCAAAATTATAACTATGAAACCGGACCTCGTTCACATTTGTTGAAAAACAGCCCTGATGATTGATGTATGTTTGGGTGCAAAGTGGTTAACGGATGAAACAATGGAGTCAGCTTCTGGGATTTTTCCCTTGCGTGGTGTCACTTAGCGAGCACAAGAGGGTGTCCTTTGGTCTAGATGGGCGGGGTAGAAGTCTAATAAATAAATAAATCTCGCAGACCATCTAGACGGCTGACATGGGTGTTGGCAGTTCTAAAGATAGGTTAGCTAGTCAGTGGCTTTATTGACTGATGGATAGTTGATGGGTATGTTGTTTTGCATTATTGCTACACACGTGTTTCCCACAATAGCTGTTGCGTGAATTATGAATACAGAAGCACAATATCCCTCCCTTGCGTGGTGTCACTTAGCGAGCACAAGAGGGTGTCCTTTGGTCTAGATGGGCGGGGTAGAAGTCTAATAAATAAATAAATCTCGCAGACCATCTAGACGGCTGACATGGGTGTTGGCAGCATTCCGGCTGCCCTTTGCTATGTAAAGCTTGGCCTCCTTTCTCTCGCTGGCAACACGGGCACAAGATTGCGCAGCAATACGGAGCCATGTCTTGGCTTTTCTGAATTATGAATACAGAAGCACAATATCCCACATTCATAAACTGCAAGCTTTTTGAGGAACTGAATTTATTCTTCTGTTCGTGTGCTTCGTTGTGAACCACCGAAAGGAGCATTGCGCTACAGTGGCAGTAGGTAAGTTGAATTAATGGATAGATGCACAAGTTTTGCTAAGGTGTCAGTTGCATGAGTGGTCACGCGACAAACCCCCTGGCCAAAAGGGGAGAAGTGACGTGGTGCCCCCCCACAGCACCGTTTCAATGAAACAGGGCAACATCGGGGCAGCATTAACCCCTAAGGAAGAGGGGGAACGAAGACCACAAACGTGACGACGTACCTGCAGGGTGTTAATGCAAGAGCGAATGTCGTTTTCGGCTTTTTCGCACAAGGCCATGAGGGCCCCCGTGTCGGTTTTCATGCCTTGCCGGGTGGTAATCTGAAACATACAAGTCTTCTATATTAAAGCAAAATGTGCTGCTATTCTATTCTGCCCCATAGCACTTACAAGGGGGTTTACAATTTAATTACGCAAGCCACACATTGCCGCCACGACAATTTGGGGACTCAATTTAGCAGCCTCAGAAGGATGGAAGGCTGAGTGAACCTCGAGCCGGCTACCTGGGATTGAACCATGAGCAAGAGTTTCAGCTGCAGTACTGCAGTTTAAGCACTGTGCCACCCCTGCGGGCATCAGAGCTTTCTAGGTCTTCAGTCCCCAGAGGTGGAGTTTAAGCACTGTGCCACCCCTGCGGCAGCCACAGTGATCATTTACATCAGGGCTTTCTAGGTCTTCAGTCCCCAGAGGTGGTTTCTTGATCTCTCCTTCTGGGAGAGCTCTCGGACCGCCGCGCAGCTCGCCCGAGGTCACACAGGCACACGAACCCCTTCCGACACGCCGGCTCTCCTTCTGGGCGATCTTGGCTCGGCCCCTCACCCAGGAGGCACACTGAGGATCCACGTGCTGGCCGACACTGGCGTTTGCGGGGAAATCACGAAGCTTGCTAACCAAGCGACAACATCACAGTGTGTGTGTGTGTGAGACACAGTGTGCGTGAGACACAGACGGCAGCGATAAAATCCCGATTAAGTGCCCAGGCTAAAATTAAACTGGATCAGCTTTGTATTCACTTTAAAAAAAAAGGGGGGGGAATGGAAGTGAACCTCCCAGGGGCCCAAATAAAGGCAAACAAGGAAGCAAAAAATAAAAATGTCGAGGGCCTGCTTGTTCTGTGCCAGGAAGTGGCTTGCAACTTGTGGCCACGCTTTAAGCGCTCTCCAAAGCATGTCCTGCTCAGCTCTCGTAGACTCAAGCTGGTGGCTTCCTTGAGGGAGCCCATCCACCTCGTCTTTGGCCTTCCTCTTTTCCTGCCGTCTTCCCCTTTTTCCACAGCCTTTCCCAGAGAGCCCTGCCTTCTCCAAAGTGGGGCAGCCTCAGAAAAACAGCGACCGGGGAGCAAAAGAATCCATGTTTGGGGGGGCTGTGCCTACCTCCTGCAGCCTCTGGACCAGCCTGGATTGAGCGGTCGTGGGGAAACTGAGGAGGAACGCCTGTTGTTTCAAGAGCCGCAATGCAGGGACGTACCTAGAAAACATCGACAACACATCAGAGAAGTCCAGACGGAAGCCGCAACGCAGGAACATACCTAGAAAACATCGACGACAACACATCAGAGAAGTCCAGACGGAAGTTGCTCCAAGTCCTAACCAAAGCTTAGATTCCTCTTGGGCTGGAGACCGGAAGTAAAGTCTCCGATCCTTTCCTATCAAGACGCCACTACCCACATGAAGGTCCTTTTTGGGGGGGAGAAAGTCCCACTTTGGGAGTAAAACCCATCTGTCTGAACAAGGAATGCCAAACACCTCCGGCTGGACCCTCTTACTGGTCATTGCAAATGCAGATGATGGGTCGAAGGAGGAGGCCCCCTTCCTTCCTCCTCTTGGCCCGGCTTGTGTTCCCCTCCGGTTCAGCCTCCGCAGCCTTGCGGTTGATGATGCTCAAAAGCACGTTGATCGACGCCTGAAGGAGAGGGACACCAGAATAGGGATCCATGAGCGCAGCGTGAAACTACTACAGAGGAAAAACCTCAGAAGAGTCCTGTGCTGGATCTGGCCTAGGGCGGGCTTTTTCTCTCCTAACCAGGTCGCACCTCACGAGCAAGATGGAGAAACCATCGTCCTCTCCCCTCAGGGGCCACCCCATTTTGCAACTCTGCCTCGTCTCAAAAAAGCAGTTCTTTCCCTCAAATTGGAATCAATAAGATTTGGCAATTTTAAGGGGACACCCCCCAAAAACATTAATATTATATATACAGGAAGAAATCTCTATTCTGCCCAAACACTATGGGGGCCAACGTTGTGGGGCTCCTACCGTTGGGGCGCCATCAATCTCGTCGATGACCAAGCAGTTGGGCTTCTCGCTGGCTCCCAGGACGGACTTCATCTGCGTGGCCGCTTCGATCCGCGTCTTGAAGACCTCCGGGCTACGGTCGTCGCTGAAAGACAAGTCTCTCCCCCGTTAAGGAAGTGGTGGAGAGCGGGCGGGCTCGGGGGCGGGAGATCCTAGACCCCTGAATGCGCTGTCCCCCCTCCCCTTGGTAGGAGAACTGAAGGTTTTACACCCAGAGAGAGTGGTGCTGCAGAAACGAATCATTACGCCACCCCTCCAAGGTGGTCTGGACTGACTTTGCCAAGCTCTTCCACACCAATCAGAGAAATGGGCCTAGTTTCCCTCCCTCCCTCTTCCCACGCCAACCCCTTTGCGCCTTGTCCCCTGTGGCGCAGAGGTGCTCCTAGCCTTCTGGGGGCTGGTCTGATGTCACCAGGAGGGCAAGAGAAACGGAACCAAGGGGGGTGGGAGGGGTGGGAGGCGGAAGCTCACCTGGCATTCATTTCCACCACGTTATATCCAGCATGCCTTGCAATGACGTGAGCCAGGGTGGTCTTCCCCAGGCCAGGGGGGCCACACAGAAGCGCAACCTGCAGACAAAGGGGTGTGCATGTGTCTCATAGGAATGCCAAAATCTAGTTAATCAGGTTTAGGCATTGCCTGGTTCCATCATCATAAAGGTTTTAGCCAAGTTTGATTTCTGGTTCAGTTTCTATTAAGTGTTGTCAAGGGATCTTGTTTTGGTGAGCGTTAGGCTGGGTGGGTTAATTTTCCTTTTCGTTGCCAACGGCTCAAGAGTGGTCACTAAGTTGGACAGGACAGCAGGAACTCTGTATCAGCAGCGGATCAGTTCCAAGCACCCCTCACGGAGGCTGAGAAACGCGGATGATAGGGAACGCTATTTTAATAGCCAACGCTATACTTAGCTTGGTCTCTGGCCTCCTCTAATGGCTATTTCTTGTAACTTCACCTTTAGAAGAATTTATTTCTAGGATTTTGAGCCCTGTATCAGCAGCAGATCAGTTCCAAGCACCCCTCACGGAGGCTGAAAAACGCGGATGATAGGGAATGCTATTTTAATAGCCAGCACTATACTTAGCTTGGTCTCTGACCTCCTCTAATGCCTATTTCTTGTAACTTCACCTTTAGAAGTATGTATTTCTAGGATTTTTTGTTTTAATATTTTCAAACCCGGGATAAGTGAATCAGCCAATACGGATCCCGTGGATACGGAGATCCTACCCTAGATACATGTTTGAAATAAATAAATAAACAGGATGTCAAGTCTAGCCTGGAAAGCAGCTTTCAAATTTTCCCAGGAAGGAGAATCCGGCGGTTCCATTAAAAGCTATTTTGTTCTGTTCTCCTTTCTGCAACGAGCATTTCCCCCCGCCCCTTGGAATGGCTTGGCTTTTCCCCTGCACCTTGTGTTTCGGTCGGTTGTGCTGGTCCAGTTCGGCTTCTAGGGCTTCCTCCGTCATTTGTGCCTTGGTTTTCCATTTGCTCGGCTGTTGCTCTTTGGCGTTCCTGAAAGGCGGGCGGGCCTCCGCGTTGGGTCTGACTTTCTGGGAGGGCCTGTCCTTCCCAAACACAACTGTATCCCATAACTTGAGCCACTTCAAGAGGCAACGGTTCGTATACTGAAAGGCAGAAGAGAGGACGATCAAGCAGGTTGGGGAAAAGCCATTTAAAAAAAAAATATGGATCTACTTACTGCTTTTAGCTTTTAAATATTGCCTTTTTTTAACGGCGTAAGCCACCTCGGGGTCCTTTCGGGCAGAAAGGTGGGGTAAAAGAAAATATTTCAAATGAATAAATGAAATTACATCATCGCTCAGCAATTCCACGTAGCACCGGGGAGCGAACCGGTCAACCCAGAGGGACTGTGGGGCCGACGCGTCCTCCTCGGCTTCGGCGTTGCCTTCCTCCTCCTCCTCCATATGAAGCGCTGTTCCAAGGTCCTCCTCGTCCAGCCAACTGCAAGAAAGGGAGGAAGGTGAAGTTCCCACTCCCCACCCGCTCAAAAAGAAGAAAGCAAGATCCATCTCGGACACATATTGATTAAGCGACCCACGGCTTTGCAACCTCTCTCTCTCTCTCCACCCGTGTCGCTCCATGCCTGCCAAGAACCCCAACTGAACTTCGGCAGAGGATAAGGCTGATCTGTCTAGGACGCCTGTAAATGAAAGACATTTCCACGTCTTCTTTGGCTCTTTCCCCCCTAGTTTGCTAAGGTAGGGGAAAGGAGCAGCGTAGGGCAGCAGAACATCTGGGGGGGGGGACGTGTTCCAGCAGAGGAAAGTGATATGACCAGCTGAGCAAAATCCCCAAGAGAAAGCATCCGTGCACATAGAAAAACGCAAGCTTAGGCTGATCGCTAGGTGGAGGAGAGTAGCTTCCAAGCATCCCATAGACCGATGAGACCCACCTGTTCAGGACCTCCGTCAGTCGCTGGGAAGAGTTGAGGATCTGCCTCCGGCGCTGGAAAACCGAGAGAAGATAAAGCCAAACACCAACACACACACGCCAGGGAAGGATACACAACCTCCTGGGTCAATAGACAGAACCCCAAGCAGGAATATTGCCCCACGCTGGTGGAGCCCCCTCGGGTTTTTCTAAACCACATCATCTCTCCCTGCGTTCTCTAGCCTTCTGCCCCCTCGGCTGTTCGGACCTCCACAGAGACCAGCAAAGTTCTCTGGCGCCTAACCTTGAAGCAATCCCCCCCCCGCCCCGGCAAGGACCTCTCCCGAATCAACCTCTCGGGGCCTCTCCTGGGCCACCAAGCCGGCAGGTCGGGGGGTAAAGCCTTGCCAATGCAGGAATAAGACGGGAACAAAGGCCAGGATCCAACCCCAAAAGGTTCTCCGAGAAGCAAGAAGCAGGGAAAGGAAACAGGTAGACAACAAAGTCAAGAAGGACATAAAACGAGGACGGTGGAGGACACAGAACGACTGGATAGCTCAGCGATTTAGAGGGAGCCAAAGGTTGGGAGTTCGATTCCCCTTTGGTGCCTCCTTGAACGGGCTGGACTGGATGATCCCATGGGGTCCCTTTCCAACTCTGCTGTTCTAAGATTCTTCATGGAATACCTCTTCAGCCACTTGGTGCTTTAGGCAGGCGAAAGGAACACCCAGGAGATGCAGAGGCCTCTGCCAGTTACGCCCAGTGGAGCCAGAAACCTGGGGGGGAACCAGACGGGAGAAACGCGCTAAGATCCAGGCCTTCGTATCCCAGCTTTATGAGTCGGAGAACAGGGTCCGCTGAAACGGGGGACAGTACAGAGCGCATTCAAAGGGTGCGCCCCTCCGGCCCCACCGAGCTTGCCTCTGTCGATGTCCCGTCTTCCTTCACGACCAGGAAGACGCGTGTGCCGGCGGTGGAGGTCACGTTGATGTAGTCCTCCAGGATGGGTGGCCGCTTCAGAACCTTCTTCGCCTCCCTTTCCGCCGGGGGAGTCTGACGCACCAGGAACACGTCGCTCAGTCCCGTGTGATCCGGGTTCTCAAATCCTGAGGACCTGCCCCGCAGAGGGGAAAAAAAAAGATTTTTGATTTTGGAAAAGCCTGCTTTGATGTGGCAACGCAAGCCAACTTGCCCAGAGGCCACCAACGCATCGATCCTCGTCCCTCTCTATCTGGCACCAGTTAGGCCTCTTCTAAGAGCCCTTCCGCACCCCTAAAAGAAGGAGGCCAACGAACTGGAGCAAATTCGGAGGAGGCCGACAGGGGAAACCAAAACCTTAGGAGGAAAGATTCAAACAACTGGAGCGTGTTTAGCCTTGAGAAAAGAAGAGACAGTGGAGATAAGATAGCACTTTTCAAATACTGGAAAAGGAAGGGCAGGATCTGTTCCCGACCATCCTAGAGTTCAGGGCACGCAACTATGGGCTCAACTGACAGGAAAACAAATTTCAGTTGAATATCAAGAAAAACTTGCTAACTGTTAGAGCAGTACGACAGGGGAACCCATGACCTCGAGAGGGAATGAGTTCTCCAACGCTGGAGAAGAGAAGATTGGACAACTGTCTGTCTTTGATTTGGATCCTTGCCTTGAGGCAGGGGTCAGACTAGATGGCCTCAGAGGACCCCTCCAACTCCATGATTCTAGGATTCTATGGTTCCACTCAGTTCCTGCTCTATGATTCAAGTCAAGCCCCTCAATTTCCTTCTATGGCAAACTTTTTCGAGGCCACTGAGATCCACGGAGTGCTGGCTAACTGGAAAAGCCGCGCCACCTCTCTTTTCCCACGGGTGAGCACCTTGGCCACGCTGCAACCTTGCCTCGGCCTCCCCACGGAGCGGGTCGAACCCCGTGGCCCTGTGCCTCCCTTCCGCTCCCGCTAGATAGACCGTCTCCTTCTAAGCATCTTGAAAGCACCGAGACCATCTCAGAGATTTTTTGTCATCTGGCGTGATGACAACAGCCAGGCGAACGCAGCAACATCTCTGCCTTTCCCACCCCGAAAGCTCACCATGCTTCTGCGGATCCAGAACGGGTGTTTGGAGAAAGAGGGGGTGTGATTCCATCCGGCCGTGGGTCTTCCAAAGCCGGCTCATTCTGCCCCCCAAAGTCCAGCTTCTTGGTAGCTTCACGCCGCCGACGTCGCTTGGGTTTTGGGGCTGTCAGAACCGGGGAGGAAAAGAACAAGAGACAGCTCTTAAATCGCCATGGGTCGCTTTGGGAGCCTGAAGGGGGTGCATTCCCCCCCCCCCGGCTGGACCTGGAAATGGCCGTTTTGAAAAATCCAAGGAGTTGCAAGGCAGATGAATGACCCTCCCATCTCTGGGTTAAAAACGCCCCACCAAGGGAATGCCATCCTCTTATACGGGAATCCATTCTAGTGGCAAACGGGATTTCTCGGGGATGCTCTAGCGGTGGCTGCCTTGGTACGGCAGGGGGTCGGTCTAGATGACCTCTTGGTGACCCTAGTCCAACTCAGCAGCTGTGTGATGCTATAGAAATGGTGTCAGGCGGGTCCGTGGGGCTATTTTAGTTTTATATTACTGTAATTGTATATATGTTGTTAGCCGCTCAGAGTGATACTGATGTATCAGATGGGCGGGATATAAATTAAATAAATAAATAAATACATACATACATACATACCTACATACCTCCACATGGCAGACTCAAGGGGAAAGGGACCAGCCCAAGGCCTCCCACTGACTCTGGACATTGTGATGGGTCAAGCCCCATGGGACCCTCTGGGTGGTGGGGAATATGACCCCCACCCACCAGCCCCCTTTGGGACCCCTTTCGACCTCTGAGCTCAGCTGCCATCTTTAAAGAAGACAGGAGGGGAAGGGACCAGTCTGCCCATGGGTGCAAGGTAACCCAGTTCACACTGAAAAGCAGGTGACGCTAGTTTGGTCCCAAATGGGCAATGAAGAGCCGCCAACTGTACAAAAGACCTGTCCTTCCATTGCGGATATGGACCGGTCTAGAATTTCCTTGGGGTGTGTATGTGTGTGTGTGTGTTTTGGCCACAAGGAGCACCTCCCATCCCTGCGTGAGAGGCTGCGATTCAAAGCTCTGTTTGGCTGGAAAAAAGGCCTCAGTCATTTCCTCTCATAGCCCTGCAAAGCTTACTGTGAACAAAGGCAGGATCCGAACTCGGGCTCCGTGGAGGTGGAAGATCTTCCGGAGCCCTCGGGATGGACGAAAGGCGTTGCGGCTCCTCACGAAACCGCCCAGGGACGTCCTCTGAGAGGGTCCCGTCCTGG